GGAGAGAGAGAGAGAAACATTGATCAGCTGCCTCCTGCACCCACCCCGACTGGGGATTGAGCAGGAAACCTGGGCATGTGCCCCAACCCAGATTGGAACTGGTGACCTTTCAGTGCCAGGGATCACGCTCAACCAACGCAGCCACACCTGCCAGGGCATCCTGCCCATTTTACAGAACAGAAAACCGAAGGCCCGAGGGGCCGGACAGGTGGCAGCACTGGGATTTGAGCCCAGGCAACCCCTGGCCGCAGAGCCTGGGTGCTGAACCACTGGGCCGCTCTGCCGCCTGGAGGGTAGAAACCCAGGTGGAACGTGAGGGAAGGACAGGCCGGGGGAGGGCCGGGCCACACAGTGCTGGGCTTGGGCCGCCAGTGCTGGGCTTGGGCTGGTGCGGGTGGGTCTTGGCCACAGCATGGCCAGCAAGAGTCCGGGACCAGCCAGGCCAAGGCTGTCTGTCTGATCCTCCTGCAGTGTGCTGGACATCTTCCCCACCGTGGTGGCCCTGGCCGGTGCCAGCCTGCCCCGAGGCCGCCACTTCGACGGTCTGGATGCCTCCGACGTGCTCTTTGGCGGGTCGCAGACTGGGCACAGGGTAAGTGAAGGAGATATGTACCCCGCCCGGTTCTTCGGGGTGGACCTGCCGCCTCACCCGGGGCCTGTTCCCCTTCGTGCAAACAGCCATCTCAGGGGAGGCAGGCAAGCGGCAGGCCGCTCCAGATCCAGTCTAAGAAACCCTGAGGGCGACTCCTCTGAGATGAACCTCTTTCCTCTCCCTTCCTCCGCTTCCCTATAATCAGCCCGGAATGTCAGTCGGATTTAAGTCTAACCGTTTGGCCGAAGTGGGTGCACGGGTGCACATTCATGTCAGGGACAGGCCCTGGCTCCTGGAGGCCCAGCGTGAGGCTCTGCAGCCGCCACACTAGCTCGGGGCTGTGAGACCCAGCACCCGGTGTTGGTTCTCTCTCTCTCTCTCTCTTAATATAGTTATTGATTTCAGAGAAGGAGGGAGAGATAGAAACATCAATGATGAGAGAGAATCATCAATCGGCTGCCTCCTGCACGCCCCCTACTGGGGCTAGAGCCTGCAACCCGGGCATGTGCCCTTGACTGGTCTCAAACCTGGGACCCTTCAGTCCACAGGCCGACGCTCTATCCACTGAGCCACACCAGCCAGGGCCTAGTGTCCTCTCCTCAGATGCTCTGAGGCACAACCAGGAAATGCTGGGCCTGATGGCCTGTCCCTGTCATTTCCCAGTTTTCCTTTTGCCAAAAGGGGAAGAGGAAGTGGGAGGAGGGAGGAGGATGGAGGGACCGGAACCCCCTTTGCGAGGCTGTGAGCACAGGGCTTCTCAGTTAGAGGCCGCACATCAAAGCGTCTATTTATAGCTGTGCCTTTACCGAGGGCCACATGGAAGTGACTCAGATGCCGCTCAAATGTGCTGTGGCAGCTACTGCAGCTGCCCTTCCCCATGGCGGCCCCAGCAAGCCCCACACTGGGCCTGGGTGGGCGTCAGTGCTTCTGTGAACACTCATTGGTGTCTGGGTGTTGTCAGATGATGCCTGGCACGTACTCTCCCCCACCCCGCACCCCTCAAGAAGTACCGCTTCTCTCCGGAACATCCTACCCTCTGGAGCGGCAGGCGCTCCCAGGCCGCGCCCTGCTCCTGAGCAGCGAGAGGCAGGAAGGTAGGAGTCGCAGTACGTGACCCTGGGGGCCGATCCAGGACATCAGGGAGATGCTCCTGAGTGTGCGTCACCATGGCAACTAACAGTCATTGGAGTCACCAGGAAGTGCTTCAAGGACTGTGGTCTCCTTGATGTGGTTGGGGCCTGTGGAGCCAGCTCCTTTGCACTCACTTCCGTTCCCAGAGGGGAGAACGCTCGCTCTCTTTCTCAAGTCTGCAGGCTCAGGAGGCCCCTTCTCAGGGCTCAGCCTCGAGGACCAGAGACAAACCACAGCGCCGACTGGGCTTTCGTGGGAACGTCCATGTGGCTACGCAGCTCAGTCGGGCGGATCTGTTCCCTGACCACACCCCGGGGCCCCATGGACATCCCCACCAGGTGCTGCCTGCCAGCGCTGCTGCTGTTGTCTGCATGAGCGAAAGCACATGGGCACACACCTGTGGCCACCCCGCCTCTCCGGGCACGGGGTCTTGGCCGCATTAGTGAGGACCTTCATTGGGGGCCACATAGGGAGTTGTTGGCCCTGCTCCAAATTTGGCCTAGGACTTCTCTGGCCAGCTACTAAAGAGACTACACTAAACCATCTCTAATTTGCTGAAGGGAGGCCAGGGGGTAAAACTATGAGTGATTCTATAGGTATACATTGTGTACATACATGTACATGCATGCATGTACACGCATGTCATATGTGTTTTAAAATAAGCACCATTTGATTGTGTCCACCGATAGATATGTCTTGGGCTTACCACGATCCTAACATGGGTTGGTTTAGAAGAAAAACACTCCGGTTTCAGGAAGTTCAAAGGAACTCCCAGTCATCTCAGTACAATATGCAAATGTATCTCAGCAACGGGTTCTTCCCTGTTTTGCAAATGAAGTGGCCTAGAGCCGCTTACATTCTGGCACCCTCTCCAGGTCCTTTGCTGAGAGGTTTAGAGGCAGGTGAATGGGCGATTGGGTTTCCTACTAAACGGTCTTCTCACGGCAGCTGGGGGCGGCCTGTGAGGTGATGCTCAAAAAACCAAAGGCAGCGGCCGCCATGCTGCACATTCTTGCATTTGCTGAGCCTCCTGCTTCTGGTCTTGATACGTCTGTCCGTGTCTTGGCAGAGGAGGCAGCCCCAAGGAGGGAGACGGGGGAGAGCCAGGCAGGGGAGGGGGCACAGCCTGGCACCAAACCCCCACTTTGTACACACCCGTCACTTCTCTTCGGGACGCCCCTCGTGGTGAAGGACGCCATCCCGAGTGGCTGGCGAAGGGCTGGCCACGTTGGGCGAAGAGCTGTGCACCCCCATCCTGTGGGATAGGAGGGCCTCCCGGGGGTGCGACAGAGGCACCGGCCTTCAGGAGGGAAGACAAGGCGGTGCTCGCGTGCTTAGACACAGAATAGAATAAAGCGAAGCCAACAGGTGGGACAGGCAGCCATGAGGGTGCAGCGGGCTTTCGGGAGGTGGTGTCATCTTTGGCGTTTGGACCCGGCGCCCTCCGAGAGAAAACGTCGTCCTTCAGCTGTGACTCATGGCTCGGTTTGCCAACCTCCTTCCTGTGTTGATAGAAACAAGAATATAATCAGTCAGCTCCAGGGGGAGAGGGGGGAAGCAGAGACAAGCGCTCCGAAATCCAGCCAGGTTTCTGAGAGCGAGCTGCCCCCCAAGACAGCGTCCTCTGGAGTTGTGGAGGTTGCCTCTGGTAACGTCGCACAAACATCCCGGCCCACTCGGTGGCATTTCTGCGACCGAGACGCAGCGCCCGCCCGTGATTGGAACCAGCGGACTCGACTCCCATCTTCTGGCTGTCGGAGCGCATCATCGATCAGTCGACGGAAGGTTTTCCAAGCCTCCCGCTTCCTGCCTTCCCCAGGAGGAAACCACAGCCTCCTGCGGCGAGAGGCTTGGCGTCCTGCGGGCCTGGAAGGAGTGAGGGTTTTGAGTTACGACTTCTTTTCCTGTTTGGAAGGAGCCCGCTGTCATCACGCTGCCTGGGGAACCGCCGAGGTTGTCACGAGAGCGCGGCACGGAAGAGGCAGGTGTGGGAGGAGCCCCGCCCTCGGCATCCTCCCGGAGCGGGAAACTTGGAGGACAGCTGTTTACTGCTCCAACAGATGGTTCTGATTTTTTTTTTTTAGCCCCATGGAAACTTTGAATCACGTAAGCGCCTTCCCAGTGATGTATATTGGTCATGATTCATACCAGGGCGGTCTCCCACTTCCAGCCCAAACCCACCAGCCTACCAAGGACGCTGGCCACTGATTTCCCACTAAATCCTGCCCTGGGAATCCCTGACTTAGGTGTTTCCAGGCCGTAGGGATTCTTTCATCTGGGACCAGCAGAGAAAGGGGCCCTCAGTCGGGTGGAGTAGGATTGAGGCTCCATTCAAAGGGCAGGGAGTGCCCATTCCTGGAGGAATCACTGAGAGGGTCTCTTAGGGTGCCTCCCGGGGCCGCCCTGGCTCAGGCGACAGTGAAAAGATCGCCGGCTCCTAGAGAAGCTGTTGTGCAGGAGCCTGAGGGTCACCTGCGCCGGAGGCCCCGCGGGTCCTTGTGAAGCGTGCAGGTCCCCAGGCCCATCTGCACCTGGCGGGTGGAGCCGTGCAGGGCCAGCCTCCGGGCACGTGAGCTGTGCACACACACACACACACACACACACACACACCACACACACGGGGCTCCTCACTCAGAAGGGCCTTGCGCTGGGTTTAGAGTGCACTTGCTGTGGTCGTCTTGAAATTCTCAATTTTTGGACAAGGTTCCTTTCATGTTCACTTTGCTGGGGACCCTGCAGCTGGTGCTGGGCTAGGCGTCTGGCCAGAGCTGTGACCCACTCCGATCGGCCACAGAGGCGCCCAGGACGGGGCTGGTGTGGACTTCGGGCTGCCTTCGGCTTCTCGCGCAGTTTATTTACAAGGGTTCGCTCATTGTCCTTTTTTTCCTTACTATCTACTTCTTAGACTTAATATATTCTGAATTTCCCCTTACGTGATGAAATATTCTTCTATTTTTTCATTTTTAAATATATTTTTTATTGTTGATAGTGTTACAGATCTCTCCCATCCCCCTCCCCTTTGATCCCCTCCTTCCAGCCCCCTCCCACTACCCTCTTGCCCATGTCTGTGGGCCATGCACATAGGTATATCTTGAGAAAGACAAGTATCACACGATCTCACTTATTTGTGGAATCTAATGAACAAAATGAATTAACCAACAAAATAAGACCTGAAGCAGGGAGGCATGGAACAGACTAACGTACCTCGATGTGGGGTTGGGGGACGAGAAGAGAGAACCTGGTTTTCCTATGAGTGAGCCCCGCCTCCCTTCTGCAGGTGCTGTTTCACCCCAACAGTGGGGCAGCGGGAGAGTACGGAGCCCTGCAGACTGTCCGCCTGGAGCGTTACAAGGCCTTCTACGTCACTGGTGAGTTAGGGAGGTGCCGCCCACCCAAAGCCTGGAGGGTGGCCCTGGCCCCTGCCCCTGCCCCAGCCCTGGCCCCGTGGGGACTCTCACTCAGCCCTGCAGGAATGAGTGTGGGTGGCCCTCCTTTGGGAAGCACTTCCACCCCCATCCCCCCAACCCTCCCATCCAAAGCCTGGGCCCAGCAGAGGTCCCAGCACCCAAGGGCCCAGCACAGGCGCTCTGCACCCATCACACGCAGCGAACAAGGTCTTTCTGCTGTTAAATTCCCAGCAAGCTCAGAGCCGTTCGGCACAGCGCATAGTGCTTTTCACTTGAAGACCATTTCATTTGCTAATAAAACACCACCGAGTCCATTGGAGAGCGAATTGGCTTTATTAAGTGGTTCATGAACTGGGCAGCAGCCCATCTAACAAATAGAAGGGCACTCTGGGGGGAGGGGGGTACAGAAGGGAAGGTTTTACAGGCAGAAGGGTGTGGCGGGGGCGTTATTAGAAAAAGATAAGGAAGGATTGCTTTTAGGACAGTCGTCTTTGGGGGGAAGGAAGGAATAGCGGGGTGAGGCGGGGGTGGGGTTATCCTGCAGATTAGCTCACTGGTATTGACCAAGACATTCCGGACTGATTGGTTTAAAATCCCGCTCCCGGGAGAGGCTGAGACTGCCGTGAGTGAGGTTAGAGTTTGGGGTTGGTGCTGTGGCTTCGCACCAGGGACTCACCTTACCCGGTGGTTCTTTCTGTTCTGTTTCACACATGACACTGTTACGCTTCAGATGCCAGTTGGGGTGGATATGACATGGAAGCTCGGAGATACTTGACAGTGAAATTTACTTGACAAGAGACTTTCAGAAAATAGAGTTTGGAGGTCGGTTTAGCAAACCGACAGACGTCTGGGTGGCCATCTTCAGGGGGTGCTTTAGAAACGTGACACCGGATGAGGATGCTTCTCAGAACCTCCCAAGGGCTTGTTGCTGCCAATTGCATTCAGACCCCTGCCTCCTGGGTCCCTCTCCCTTCCTGTCTTCTCCGAGGGCCACGGCCACGGCCTCCATATTCAATTCAACTTTTAAGGCCTCAAACCAAATACCACCTCGATCATAAAACTCCCTCCCACCTGGGCGGCTGGCTCAGTGGTTCAGTGTCAGCCTATGAACCAGGAGGTCACGGTTTGATTCCTGGTCAGAGCACACGCCCGGGTTGCAGGCTCCATCCCTGATGTGGGGCGTGCAGGAGGCAGCTGATCAAGAGAGACCGCGCTCTTCCTCTCTGAAATCAATAAAAATAAAACTTTCTCCCATCTTCCTAGCAGTGTAGGATCTGGAGAAATCGGATATTTACCACATTCTGCCGCATGTCGAACAGACTCAGGAAGAGACCGCAGGCTTTGTTAGCAATCAGTGGTAAAGACTTATTTCTTTAAGGGTCTCAGAGTTGGCAAACTGGGGACACAGCGAGGCAAAAACCCAGACGTGTTCCCAAGAAGAAAGAAAAGTTACGAGTTCTTATAGCGAAAACTACATACGTGAGGATTAGCAGTCCTGCCTTCTGAGGGTTCGTCCGAGACGGCTGTCATTCAGATGTCCGGTGGAGACAGGCGTGGTCCTTCAGGGGCAACCAGGGGGTTGTCTGGGGCCCGGTCTACGTGTCCAGATGCACGGCCAGGCATTGAGGCAGGACTGGAAAGTTCAAAACATTCACGTGCCCGGGCTCCTTGCAACAAGAACGTACCTGTTCTTCATGCCTCAGGCTTCGTAATGTTAATGTTAGCGGCTTGGTTCACGTGGCTCCATTTTATACATTCCCCCTTTTCACTCCTTTCTCACCTATATGCCAGTCATTTAGGTGCATGCTTTGTTTCCCTTGCTAGTTTTTGTTTTGTTTTCAGAGAGAGGAAGGGAGAGGGAGAGAGAGAGAGAAACATCAATGAGGGAGAAACAGCCATAGGCTGCCGCCTTCTTGCACGCCCCCTGCTGGGGATCGAGCCCACAAGCCAGGCATGTGCTCTGACCAGGAATCCAACCGGCAACCTTCCAGTGCCTGGGTCAGTGCTCAACCCCTGAGCCAGACCAGCCAGGCTTCCCTTACTAGTTTCAAGCTCTCTGAGCTCAGAGCTCCGTAAGCCCTTTCATTTTTGTTATCTTGATGTGCGTGGACAGTGTCTTGCATCTAGAAGGAACATTAACTTTTTTTTTTAATGAATGAAAAACAAACAAAACAAACAAAAAAAAAACCCTAACCCCACCAAAATCTGGGACCTGCTGCAGATTCCAATTTGGTTCAGTTAATTTATGTTGGAACTTGCCAAAGAATTATATAAAACAGAACAAAAAAATGACTTTCCCGGAGTGTCGATAACAGACCCCGGAGAGAACGTGGCATGAAAACAAGTTCTATGAGTTCATCGCTTGGAGGATATTAAAAATGCCACAGCCGTCTTTGATCCTCCAAACGCTGAAACGCAAACCAGTCGGATGACTGTCACACTCTCGGATGGAACGTGTCTAGATCGCAGCCCTTACATTACAGTATCTAAGAGGCACGGCTCCCCCAGGCCGAGTTAATTTCAGAAGGGAGAGCCGTGCCAGGAAGCCCTCGGCACCACAGTGCTGGGATCACAAGTGTGACCGTGAAGTCACAGGGCTGTTTCCAGTGATCCCAGTCAGACAGGCGTTCTAACACCCAGGGGACGTCTGTTCTGAGGAGTCACCAACTCCCCGCGGGGTGGGGGCGGGGACCACCGACAGCTCAGCAGATGGGCTGAAACAGGCTAGGATGGAACGGGGACATGCTCGGATGCCTCCCCCCGGCCCCCTGGAAGTCTGCCTCCCACTCACTCACAGCTGGTCTGGGGTGAGCTCCCAGGAACGTGGTGGGCGTCTTTTCCTGGAGGAAGATGTGTGTCCTTCTATCACGAGGGTGTGAGCTTACGGTCGTGAACTAGGAGTGGCCTGAAAAGGCGACCGGTCCGCTCTGCTCTGGGGGAGTTCTCTTCATTCATCTGCATCTCCCATTTGGGGGGCATCGTTTGCCTGTGACGTCGCTTCTCCGACAGCTCTCAGAAAGGCTGAGGCTATTTCGGTTGGTTCAGCCTTTTACTTGTTCGGATGGAGTGATGGTTTTTCAGCTCCTGACACACTGGGCTAGCAACGGGAAGTTTGCTGCGTAGTAGCTGGTCGTTGTGGATGCCGGACCGTAGAGATTCTGACTTCTGATATTTAAGGAGTGTGGGTCTTTCTGTTCCCTTAAACTTGTGGAGGTTGGTTTTCCACGTCGTTGGGACTGGCTCTCGCAGATTTGGTCCTTCATCTTAGGTGAATGCCTCGGTCGTGGGCCGTGGTCTTTAATCCTAGCACGAACCCTTTGGGACTTCAGTGTGAAATACGAAATGTTTCTGAGGCCTTTCTAATAGCGTTCACACTCTAAGCCCGTCTCCCCCACGTGGCCGCATAGAAACGCCCGCTGAGCTCTGTCCGCCCGTAGCTGCTGCTGGGGCCCGTGTCCCCTGTGCCCGCAGGTCAGGGCTCAGCCCAGGACTCTGAGGCTTCCCCTCGCTAGCTCCCTCTTACCCAGGATTTTGCTCAGCCATTGTCCTGAACTCTGTCCCCTGACACCTCAGGCCAAAGGGACCACAGCTTTCTCCTGGGGTGAGCTGCTCTGAGCCACACAGCCTGGGGACGACGAGTCTTCCCAGGGGAAATCATTTAAACACAGACCCAACCCAGTGTGGCTTCCTTCTCTCAAGGATCCAGTCCCGTTAGGTTGCTGCCTTTGCATTGGTTAATTTCTAGTGCCCTCAGGGTGTGTTTTTATTTATTTTCTTCTTTTTTCTCTTTTTTTCTTTTCAGGGTGTTTTTTTTAATACGTTGCCTAGAATGCATAGTTGTTATCTATAGGAAGGTTAGTTATATGCAAGCTATCCCACTATTCCCTTAATGGGAAGTCTTTAATTTTTTGTTGCTGTTGTTAATCCTCACCCGAGGACATTTTTCCATTGATTTTTAGAGAGAGTGAAAGAGAGGCGGAGAGACAGAGAGACAGAGAGAAACATCGATGTGAGAGAGACACATTGATTGGTTGCCTTCCACACCCCCGACCGGTCCAGGGCTGGGGATCGAGCCTGCAATCCATGTAGGTGTCCTTGACTGGAGTCGAACCTGGGACCCTTCAGTTCTTGGGCTGATGCTCTATCCACTGAGCCAAATCGGCTAAAGCAAAAATCTTTAATTCTCATAAGAGGAGCCCATCCCAGCCTTCACGTGATTGACGGCCAAACCTCACGTGACCCCTCTTCATTGTTGATTCAACCCCAACCTCCAGGCAAAGGCAGTGACTCTCTTTCTCAGCTGAACAACCTGAATCTGAGTCACAGGAGGAAAACCATTAAGGTCGGTTCCCTCAAGGCCACGCCACCGACTCATTCTTGTCACTCGAGATTTCAGATGTCAGCCCTCTCCACAGGGGACTAGAATGGAAGCCAGTGCCCAGGTAGCCCGGCTCTGGCCCCTGGGGGTCTGCCTTCACTGACTGGCACTTCGGTGTGACGCTCTCACCTGGGTAATAAAGGGGGTGAGGAGAGGTCATCGGCTGGGCCATCCTAACTACACAGCTGTGCTTTCCATCAGCATGTATGAGGAGCCGTGGAAGAAGCTCTCACACCTCAATGCCAGAGCAGCTCTGCTTCCCACGAGCAATTGGATTTCAGTTTCTGACTTAGTCACGCTTGGCCGCTGAGAAGCTCCGAGTCGAAGGAGGTCTTTAGGAACTAACTCCCGTTGTTTCCTTCCGAGGGCCATCCTTGGCCTGCATTCTTTTTGTTCATTCAATTGTATTCTATTCATTTGTGTCAGATACCTTAACTGCTTACTTGCATGGAAAAGGCAAACAAAAAAAAAGTCATCTGAATCATTAACAACCAAGGATGCTGCCATCGCCCCAGGCCCCTGGCCCTCCTCCTTGGGACTGCCTCCACAGCCAGACTGATGCAGACAGCAACCTCCACTTCAGCCCTCAGTGGCAGGAGTCACCTTGTCTGCCTGCCTGATGCTTAAAATTGAATATATTTGCTATCCAAGAAATCTATTTTAAAACAAATTTTACTCCCAGAGGGCAGAGATGAAAGACATTTGAACGCAAGTTCTACTGGCTCTGAAGGCAAGTCCAAGGAGAAGTTCCGGATCATTCCGGACAGCAGGAGCATCGTGGGACGAGCACGCAGATTCTCAAGGTCATTTCTTGGACAGGGAGGGCAGTCATTTGAATAGTCAGGTGCTGGTGTGTTTGAGTTCATTTACAATCAGTCACGGGTCTCCGCTCTGACGACATGGCTGGAGTTGGGTTTGACGGGGCCCTTGTTGTCCCCCTCTCTCTAGGAGGAGCCAGAGCCTGCGACGGGAGTGTGGGGCCTGCGCGGTCTCATGAGCCCCCCCTTATTTTCAACCTGGAAGATGATGTTACGGAAGCTGTGCCTCTGGACACAGGCAGTGCGGAGTACCAGCGCGTGCTGCCCCAGGTCAGGGAGGTTCTTGCCGACGTCCTGCACGACATTGCTGGGGACAACGTCTCCAGGGCAGACTACACGCAGGACCCGGCGGCAGCTCCCTGCTGTGACCCCCACCAGACTGCCTGCCGCTGCCAGACCGCCTCCCAGCCCGTGTTCCCAGGAGCAGGAGCAGCAGGAAATGAAACGGCAAGTGCACATCCACCCTCTTTCTAGTGACGTACGCTTTATAAGTCTCAGGATTTCGGCGGGAAGCCACCACCTTGCATCCCCCACTGTCCCGTCTGCATGATGGCTTGGGAGGTCAGCTGCCAAGAGCTGTAACGGGGACCCTACGGGCTCAGAGGCAGCCCAGGGTCAAGGCCCAGCTTTTGAACTTGGGCCATGACTTACCCTGCCTTGCGAGCTGATTTTGAGGATTCGGTAAGGCAATTCGTGAAAGTGCCAGGCATATTACCTGACACGTGAGGCAGGCACTTAATTCGTTTTAGTCTTCTTCTTCTTTTTTTAATGCACCGTTTCACTGATCATTTTAGTAGAGATTTGTGCCAACTGGTATCTAGGCAACGCTTCTCCGGAGGCAGGCACTTAATTCGTTTTAGTCTTCTTCTTCTTCTTTTTTTTTTTAATGCACCGTTTCACTGGTCATTTTAGTAGAGATTTGTGCCAACTGGTGTCTAGGCAACGCTTCTCCATCTTTAACACGCATACGAATCACCGGGAGCTTGTGAATGGACCGATTCTGACCCGGGAGGTCTGGGTTGGGGCCTGACCACCTCCATCTCTAGGCCACCCTGGGGTGCTTGGGTGGCGTGGGTGTTGACTAGACAAAGTGAGCGGTTCCAGGTCTCCAAGCAGAAGAGCCCACAGATTAATCCATGGCCCGACCCGCCACCCCGACCCCCTTTAAAGGTCAAATGGCTGTGTTTTAAAGACTTGAGGAGTTCTTCCTGCTTCCTAAAACCATGAAGAAATAAATTTTCAGAGCCTTAAAAATGCATTGCCATGATTTTATTATTAGTGTCCTAAATGGGACTCAAAGGTAGTACGTGATTTATTCCAATCACTGCCAAAAAAAAAAAAAAATACTTCGCCTGGTTAAAATAGTCTCTATGTACGTAACATACAAGAAGTACAATTCGAAGACATTTTCCTATAGATACATTTTTACACAGCATACATTGAAAAAGGATGCCGTTTTGAATACAAAATTCCGGCTATAGACCAATATGGTTAGTTAGCATTGACATTATGGCGGTAATATAGTTCCAATAGCAGGATGCGTACACGGCGTCTCCCGTACCCACTGGCAGCCGGGACTGAGGGGGGCTTGCTGAGCAGTGAGCCACGTCCTGTGGCTTAAGCAGGGGGCACCTGGGGTTCCTGCCCCCCACTCTGCGCCCACCATCGCACGCCATTCTTCCACCTTCCTGGTTTTCTCCAAAACCACCTGATGGGGGGGTGTCCTGATTTCTGAGGCGCGCGTCTCATCATGACTGCTTCGCTTTGCCCTTCTGGCTTCCGCGGCACAATATTATCTACCGAAATCAAAACAGAATGGCCTTACTCTCCCCAGGAAGAGGCGGCTGAGCAGACAGCATCGGCAGCAGGTCTGTGCCTGCGGAGTGGGCAGGGGAGGCTGGCACACAGGCCACAGGCAGCCACCTGTCTCACTCAGGCGCAGGCGAGGGTGGCACCGTTTCAGAACATACTGACTGTATAGAAAATATTGCATGTGTATTAATATGTGTCTGTGGGGTTTTTTAAAAAGGCTCATCTTGTAAACACAGGCTGCTAAATCACTGTTAAAAAGTCAGTAAACCCTTGGTCCCAGCCCTTCCTCTTGCCCACTAGAGTAAGACTGGTGTGGGAAGCACGCAGCCGTAAAGGTTGGCTGGTTACCGAAAGGGAGGCTGCCCGTCCTCCTGCAAGGGGGCTGCGTCTTTCTAAGGTACCAGAGGCGATGCACTCTCTCGTCTTCATTTTTCCAGGAGCAAAGTAAACGCATGGAGATGAGAGTGAGCCTACCCAGGGGCCTGTCAGTGTGTATTTTTTAAAATGACCCATGTGCTCCCGGCGTCCAGGCAAGCCCGCACTCATGTCTACAGAAGGGATTTTGCCCGAGCTGAGACCAGGATCCTCTCACTGTCCTGGCAGTGTTTAAGGAATGTGGGTAGAGATGTGGATTCTGGACAGATATATCTATCAAAGGCAAAGAACAGAGGCAGAGAGAGGAAGGCGTCTCGCATCTCCAGCTGAATGTGACTGTGGGAGAGGCATGGCCGGGATGGTCCTTGTTGAGAGCGCATCCGGCAGCCGCTCGTGTCTCTGGCCCTTGAGCGGGGAGACAGGGAACCGCCTGCTACTGTGTCAGTGTCTCGTAGGAACAGGACCCGCTCTTCCCCATCACCCGACACCTGCTGGCGTCTGACAGCCGATCTAGGGAACCTCGCTCGGTGGTCTCACTCAGGGGAGCCTGACAGAGTTTAAACCATCTTTCCCTCCTTAGGCAGTGCCCAGGCGGACAGGCCTCTGGGCCAGTTCTGAAGCATCTCCATGGTTTTTGTTTTTACTCCAAACAAGTGCTCTGCCCCGTGGACCTATTATTTTGTACAGGTCTAATCTTTGGCAAAGGACCACCTCCTGCATGCTGACATCCGAAGTACCTGATTCTGTAAATATAAGGTGTGGCAAGGTCTACTCTGATTACAGTTAAGAATCTACTAACCTTTGTAGCAGTCACAGACTTTGACCAAAGTCACTGAAAGGGAACCTCAGTTTTATCCCCAACTGCATCTGACTTGCTCTGGTTCCCAGAAGATGCGACTTCGGGTAAATAACCACCAACTTTTGGGTGATGGAAAAAAACAAAAACCTTTACGGTTGGTGGGGCGTGAGAACCCAAAGGCAAGGCACCTGGCACATCGGAAGCAGCAAGCCAGCAGAGGCTTTTAAATTTATAAAAATTAGTATTTTTAAGAACCACCGCTTTCCACCCCTGAACTATAAACCTTCCTTGTTGGCACTGTATCCGGGGGCCTGCCGACTAAGAGCCAGAGTGTAATCTCACCCTGCAACCTCTGCCTCTGTGGGATCTCACACAGCCCTCCAGCCATGCACTGGGGGTCCCACAACACCCCCCCTTTTTTGTAGTGACTGTGCTTACTAGGTTGTCCTTATGGGTCTATGCAAGCCAGAAGCCAGACCTGCACAACATCCTTTTGCAAAAGGAATCTCCACTGATAGAAAGTGCTGATCAGGAGACAACATTGCACACCAGGACCTAAGGGGCCCTGTAGCAGTGCCCAGCGGCCGTGGCTCTGCCTCTGGGTCCCTCAGCAGACTCCCCAAGTCTTGGCCCAAGCGCTGCTCCTGTCTCTAACCGATTTCAGGTCCACTATCTGGGCTGTCCTTGAACTGAAGCTCACAAGAGGCATCTATATGTTGCCTTAAATGGAAGCTTGAAGAATCAGAAGCGAAGGCGGCCATGGCCACCCAGGGAGAAGACCTGCTGTTTGTACAGGGGTGCTGGAAGCCAAGCCCAGCGCCCAGCGCCCAGCCAGCCCGTGGCCCTCGCTGCCAGGACAGGGGAAGCAGGATGCTGGCCCAGGGAGC